TAGCATAAGCAGTACTTAGCAACAACTAAAAACATCAACATATTATCAACATTCTTCTCCTACCAAATCCAAAACACATCACTATGCCTGCTACTAGGAAGAAAATTAACTCTATCCCAGCCAAAACCAGGACAACATGTTAAAATGAAACTTGTACAATATATTAATTAATATATGTAGGTTCTACCACCTTGTATTAGAAAAAAAAGTCATTATGTATTGTCACATTTCATGTGATTATCCTTCTAGCTGATGTGGTATCAGCCTGTTTCCTCTCTGGTGATGACTGGAAAATGATAGTCCAATCTCTAGAATTATCATTGCCATTAATTCATGTTCTGAGAAATACACATACTAGATGACACCTCAGAAAGAAAAACTGTAAGCAGGTGTACTGGGTTTAGTTCAATTTTTAGTTTCATCCCCCTGTGTGTGTTAGTTTGTGGGGAAATTTTTAATTTAAAAAAAAAAGGAAAATTGTAAATGTCAGACTAGATTCTTTTGGTCAATTGTAAGAAGTCTCATCTTGGATGCTTATAGAAAAATATCTTCAGCAGAAAGGTTCTCAGCCCTTTGTAGTTTGCTTATGCTCCTTATATTTGATTTTGTGTTCTGCATAATGTATCTGTAGACATACTGATGTTTATAACTAACCCCTTTTTTTAATTTCATTTGTCTTGACTTTCAGAGACTTGTTGGTACCATTTTTGCGCAACACCTTCATACGGTACTGACCTTGTGCAGCAGCAGGACAGACACTACCTCAGACACCTCTGTACTGCACTCTAGTGCATGGTCTGGATATTTCCCCCACCCTACTCTAATGCCTTCCAAAATTCTGATGACTTTTGGAGGCCTATAGTCTTTTTCCACCCTTGTTTTTTGATACAAAATGACAAATATTAAAGCAACGTGTAATATTCTGTGTTTTGCTTCCTCCTTTGAGAGTCAACATACATTGAAAGGAGGTTTTAGTGACTTTATCTATGTTAATAAATGGAACTTCAAACTGCTTGTTTTCAGTTGTATGCTGATGCTTTCAGGAATCTAAAGTAGCTATTCAGAATTAGTCACCTGGAAGAAGAGTTCTATATTTACCTGCTTAGCTTTCAGCTAATGTTTGCCTGTACTTAGGTGCTTAGAAGGAGCTGACATTTGGGTAGCTTATCTTTGTATTTCTTTGATTAGGGAGTGGTGCGAACTGTACAACCATATGCTTTGCAGTGACGTTGAGCTGGGTTATCCAGAATGTTTGCATGAGAATCCATATTTCAAAAGGGGTGCAAATGTAATAGAAGAGGGTGACTTCTGATGGAGATAGCTTTATGTGTGCCCACAGTCTGCGTCAATCAGTCAGGCTCCTGTGTACGTTACCAAACTGTCTAGAATGTAAATAGCTGTTAAAAAATGAAACTAAATCCAAATTAATCCTGTCTTTTCTCTAGTGGACACACTTTTCTCTAGTGAACATATATTTCTGTGTTGTAGCTAAATTTTTTTCCCAGGTAACATAAAGTGGGAATGCAAAGGAAAAAAGCTGAAGTTCTGTATCAGCAGAAAAAGTCTTTATGTTCTGTTCCTGATATGCAATGTGAACAGGAAGAAAATAACTTTTATTCCATACAAATAATTCAATCTTACATGCAATTTTACAAAGTTTACACGTATTTAAAGGAAAAGTCCCTGCCTTTAAAAAGGAATGCAGCATTAACTATGAGCTGCTACCAAGAATTTGCTATAGATACCTATTTTGCAGTTCCATTTCAGTAGTTGCCTTTTGCAGAACAAATGTCAACCGTAGCTGTAACATAAAACAAGTTCTTGAAACTCTGACTTCATGATACGAGTTTAATAATGGATGTGAGCTATCTATCTTACCTATTGGTTGGCATCTGTTCTTGGTTTTCTATTCTCTCTTTTCTCTTTTGAAGAACATGGAAAGCAAATCTGAAATGTTTCTTTGTTTTTTGAATGTATATTTACAGGGAAGACCTGCAATATCTTAGTACGCAGATAATATAATGCTTGCAAAATTGAGACTGTGCAATTTGAGGTGCTTTACATGGATGATATCATGAGCCTTAAGTAGTTCAAAGTCTTTATAGTCTTTTGTTCAGTACTTCAGTTTTACAAGTTGCTACTCTGATCATTTTTATTCAGGCCAGTGTTGTATGTTGAAATGCATACATTTGAATATAAATATGCTTTTTTGTAGGTACTAACAATTTTTATAAAAATATTGTTGTTCACGCTTGTGTGTATTGACCTGATTGCTCTTCAAATTAGAATACTATTTCACATCCCCAGTAACTTGTATTTGTAGCAGCTTTCAGTTGACTCTCCTTGTCATTCAGCAGCTTGCTGCTTTTCTGAAGAGCAGTAAAATAAGAGGAAATACAAAGTGGTTGTTTATGAACCATCTAGATCTGGCCAGGCTCATCCCCTCTTCCCAGACTAGAAGGGTGAATGCAGTTCAGCAAGCTTCCTGCTCGACAGATTGTAGTTCTCTGCAAAACGGCCAGGTTTCCTTCCACAGACACTTCTGTTGAAAGGTAGTTACTGTGGAAGTCCTCCTACAGATAACCCATACAGCAAGACAGATAATGTTTGTAAAATGCTGCCCTTGGAATGGAGAAGCTGTTGACGGAACCATGGTGGCACAGACAGACTTAACTCAGCTTATGTGCGCTTTTGGCTACTTTACAAAGTTGGTAAACTGCCTATAGAAAATGGAGCACTATTACCTAACAAGCTTTAATTTCTTTGAAAGGCTAGAGCATAACAATATCTCTCTGCCTTCACCAAGTCAAGGGCCCCAGTGTTTGGAATTGTATAAATATACAAGAAGCAAGTGTAAATTTATTTCTATTCCCCACATGCATGGATCACTGCAACAAGTAATAACGAATCAATGTTAATAATATCTATTATAGGAGTAGGCAGGGGCGAAGGCAAGGGAAAGGAATGATGAGTTTTGCATCAATTTACTACATGCTTAAAATAAAATGGCTTCCATTTTAAATGAGGGGTTGGCATTTTCAGTGGTATCCAAAGGGGAAGCTGTGAACGAACTTTGGCAAACAAAGATGCTCTGTCTGTGTCCCAAGAGCTCTGACTGGCATGTGGCAAAGGGATGTTACTTCTGGCACTGTGTGGGCTTGATGATCTGCGGAGTCCCTGGCATACCGATCTGTGTAGCAAAGATCTGTGAAGACATCGAGGACTTGGCAGCATTGTATCTTAGCAATACAACAAGCCTCAATTTGCCAACAGGTATTGCTGCATGAGTTCATTCACTGAATGTAGAAACAAAAGCCAGCTTTTCAGTGAGTGAGAGGGGAAAGAGAACTTCTTGCCAGCTGTATTACTCATTAGTCCTCTTAACCTAGCTTAACCCTTTTGTGCACAGTGAGGCTGTGAAGGAGCAAGGAGTGCTCGAATGCTTTGTGGATGTTTTCTGCATTTGTTCATCAGCTGCTATAGAGCAGCTGGCCATGCTGCAAGAGTGAAACTTTAAGAATGTGTTTCCAGATCTGCTTGGGCAGTTTGCCCTCCAGTTTGTGAGGCTATTGTTGAAGGTATTCAAAGATCACAGATACTGCACTGGAGAGCAGCAGGATATCTGCTTAAGCCATTTGGGTTAGTGTATGCATGGAGTATCCATTTTTCACCATAAATCCTATTTGCCATGCAATTAGCTCAGAGCTTGCATTGCAGAATGATGTGAAATGTGATCAGGTTCTACCATGAAACACACATGCAGTCTCTCTGCTTTTACTTTTGTACACTGGTTACTGGTGCTCATACCATAATGAGATATTTTTGCATATGGACAGGGTGCAACTACCCTGTTAAATAATACTGGACTGAAGGAAGACAACATGTTGATGGCACTTCATCTCCAAATGCAAACTGAAGGGATATTAAGTATGTAGGATAGACAGCTAAAGAGCAGACTGCAGCCTCCAGGCGGGTACCTCCATTCTTCATGCACAGTTCTCAGGCTTCCTGCCCTGGCTGCCAGTAGTGCTGTAACTCGCTCCTGACTATCTACCAGGGTTGAGGAGCAATCTTTAGGTAGACAGCAGACCTGTCTACGCCCTGCATCAAAACTGCTTCTGTAAAGAAAAAAGGACGGGTCATTGTCATAGGAGACTCCCTTCTGAAGGGAACAGAAGGCCCAATATGCAGACCGGACCCACTTCTTAGGAAAGTCTGCTGCTTCCCTGGGGCCTGGGATAAAGATGTGAAGAAAAAGCTTCCTACCCTGGTACAGCTCTCAGTTTACTATCCATTATTGATTTTTCAGGTAGGCAGTGATGAAGTTGCAATGAGAAGTCTGAGGGCAATCAAGAGAGACTTCGGGGCCTTGGGACAACTGGTTAAGGGATCAGGACACAAGTACTGTTCTCCTCTATCCTTCCAGTTGCAGGGAATGATGAGGGAAGAAACAAGAAGAGCCAGCAGATCAATACCTGTCTCCGAGCCTGGTGTCACTGGCAGAATTTTGGGTTTTTTGATCATGGGTCAGTCTACACAACACCAGGTGTGCTGGCAACAGACGGGGTACACCTGTCTCAAAGGCGGAAAAGGTTCTTTGCACAGGAGTTAGCAGGCCTCATTGAAAGAGCTTTAAACTAAATTTGAAGGGTGAAAGGGATAAAACCAGGTTCACTAGAGATAAGCCTGGGGGTGGCACGCCAATGTTTGAGGGATGGTGTGCTAGCTAGATCCTTTGGTCTGCTGTCTCAGTGGAGGTAGGGGGTGGAGATCCATGCAGCAGCAAAGATGCAAGTGTTATTAATATGTTAGAAACCACAGAAGCACCTGAGAATGGTCACATGAGAATTAGGGCTTCTCCCCTCAGAAAGGTGGCAGGATCAATAGCCCAACTGAAGTCCATCTACACCAATGCACGCAGCATGGGCAACAAACAGGAGGAGCTGGAAGCCATTGCAAAGCAGGAAAACTATGATGAAGTTGGCATCACAAAAACATGGTGGGATGACTCACAAAACTGGAGTGCTGCAATGGATGGCTGTAAACTCTTCAGAAGGGATAGGCAAGGAAGGAGAGGCGATGGGGTAGCCCTGTGTGTTAGGGAGTGTTTTGATGTCTAGAGCTTAACTATGGTGACGATAGGGTTGAGTGTTTATGAGTAAGAATCCGGGGGAAGGCCAAGGCAGATACCATGGTGGGAGTCTGTTATAGACCACCCAACTAGGATGTAGAGGCAGACAAAATATTCTATAAACAGCTGAGAGAAGTCTCACAATCACTAGCCTTTGTTCTCATGGGGGACTTCAACCTACCAGGTGTCTGCTGGAAATACAATACAGCAGAGAGGAAAGAGTCTAGGAGGTTCCTGGAGTGTGTGGAGGATAACCTCCTGACACAGCTGGTGAGTGAGGCAACTAGGGAAGGAGCCCTGCTGGACATGTTGCTTATGAACAGAGAAGGACTTGTGGGTGATATGATGGTTGGAGGCTGTCTTGGGCACAGAGATCACAAAATGATAGAGTTTTCATTTCCTGGAGAAGTAAGGAGAGGGGTCAGCAAAACAGCTACCTTAGACTTCTGGAGGGCAGACTTTGGCCTGTTTAGGAGCCTGGTTGACAGAGTCTCTTGGGAGGCAGTTCTGAAGGGCAAAGGAGTCCAGGAAGGCTGGGCATTCTTCAAGAAGGAAATCTTAAAGGCACAGGAGCAGGCCGTCCCATGTGCCAAAAGATGAGCCAGCAGGGAAGACTGGCATGGGTGAACAGAGAGCCTTGGCTGGAACTCAGGAAAAAAAGGGAGTTTATGACCTTTGGAAGAAGGGGCAGGTAACTCAGGAGGACTACAAGGATGTTGTGAGGTTATGCAGGGAGAAAATTAGAAGAGCCAAAGCCCAACTAGAACTTAATCCTGCTACTGATGTAAAAGACAATAAAAAATGTTTCTATAAATACATTAGCAGCAAAAGGAGGGCTACGGAAGATCTCCATCCTTTATTGGATATGGGGGGAAATATAGTGACAAAGGCTGAGGAAAAGGCTGAGGTACTTAATGCCTTTCTTGCCTCAGTCTTTAACAGTCAGACCAGTTGTTCTCCAGGTACCCAGCCCCCTCAGCTGGAAGACAGGGATGGGGAGCAGAATGAATCCCCCATAATCCAAGGGGAAGTGGTTAGTGACCTGCTACACCACTTAGACACACACAGGTCTATGGGGCCAGATGGGATCCAGCAAGGGTACTGAGGGAGCTGGCGGAAGTGCTCACCAAGCCACTTCCCATCATTTATTCAGCAGTCCTGGCTAACTGGGGAGGTCCCAGTTGACTGGAGGTTAGCAAATGTGATGCCCATCTACAAGAAGGGCAGGAAGGAGGATCCAGGGAACTACAGGCCTGTCAGTCTGACCTCAGTGCCGCCAGGGAAGATTATGGAGCAGATCATCTGGAGTGCTATCATGTGGCACATACAGGACAAGCAGGTGATCAGGCCCAGCCAGCATGGGTTCATGAAAGGCAGGTCCTGCTTGACTAACCTGATCTTCTACAACAAGGTGACTGGCTTAGTAGATGAGGGAAAGGCTGTGGATGTTGTCTACCTGGACTTTAGTAAAGCCTTTGACACTGTTTCCCACAGCATTCTCCTGGAGAAAATTGGCTGCTCATGGCTTGGGTGGGCTTACTCTTCACTGGGTAAAAAACTGTCTGGATGGCTGGGCCTGAAGTGGTGAATGGAGTTAAATCCAGTTGGTGGCCGGTCACAAGTGGTGCTCCCCAGGGCTCAGTACTGGGGGCAGTTCTGTTTAATATCTTTATCAATGATCTGGACAAGAGGATTGAGTGCACCCTCAGTAAGCTTGCAGATGACACCAAGTTGGGTGGGAGTGTTGATCTGCTTGAGGGTAGAAAGGCTCTACAGAGGGATCTGGACAGGCTGGATCGATGGGCCAAGGCCAGCTGTAGGAGGTTCAACAAGGCTAAGCGCCAGGTCCGGCACTTGGGTCACAACCACCCCGTGCAACGCTACGGGCTTGGGGAAGAGTGGCTGGAAAGCTGCCTGGCGGAAAAGAACCTGGTCGACAGCTGGCTGAGTATGAGCCAGCAGTGTGCCCAGGTGGCCAAGAGGACCAACAGCATCCTGGCTTGTATCAGGAATAGTGTGGCCAGCAGGAGCAGGAAAGTGATTGTCCCCCTGTACTCGGCAATGGTGAGGCCGCACCTCAAATAGTGTGTTCGGTTTTGGGCCCCTAACTACGAGACAGACATTGAGGTGCTAGAGCGTGTCCAAAGAACGAAGCTGGTGAAGGGTCTGGAGCACAAGTCTTATGAGGAGCGGCTGAGGGAACTAGGGTTGTTTAGCCTGGAGAAAAGGAGGCTGAGAGGAGACCTTATTGCTCTCTACAACTACCTGAAAGGAGGTTATAGCAAGGTGGGTGTTGGTCTCTTCTCCCGAGTAACTAGCGATAGGACGAGAGGAAATGGCCTCAAATTGCACTAGGGGAGGTTTAGATTGGATATTAGGAAAAATTTCTTCACGGAAAGGGTTGTCAAGCATTGGAACAGGCTGCCCAGGGAAGTGGTTGAGTCACCATCCCTGGAGGCATTTAAAAGGTGTGTAGACGAGGCGCTTAGGGACATGGTTTAGTGGTGGACTTGGCAGTTCAGGTTAATGCTTGGATTTGGTGATCTTAAAGGTCTTTTCCAACCTAAACAATTTTATGATTACCTATGCTTTACTTCAGCCCACTCAGGTGAGGAAGCACCTTGCTGGGGAGCAGATGTGAGCACACAAGAAGGGCTCTGGTCTCTGTTTTAAAGAGCCATACCCTCTCTCACAAAGAGGGCTCAGGCGGAGGGGTGGGGGTAAGAGACATGCTTCAGGCAGAGCACACTAGAGGTAAGGCATCTCAGCTTCTTCCATCTAATGATCTCCTGCCCTTGCTATGTCTATGACTGATCTATAAGAAGTGGCCTTCTGTGGAGACGACTTCCTCCTTTAAAAGCTTCGGTTCAAAAAGCTCCTCTGATGTACTGATATTAATTGCCCAGACACAAGTACATTATAATTTCATCTTTTCCAAGTATCCTGAAACTTCCTTTTGTGTAAAGCTTTGCAAATTCAGCTTTGTCATAGAGTTACTTTACATGGAATGAATCTAGGAAAGCTTATCTCTTAAAAATGTAAAACCTATACAAAGATGTGGCACTGTTCCTGTTTCATTGATTTGTTTGTGGCACTGTTTCTGTTTCACTGCAGTTGTTTGTTGTTCTTTCATCTTGCCACCACCAAATATAAACACAAAACTCAGATGAAAAGCCTCAGTTAAAAGAGCATGGGATTTCAAAGGACTAGTAGAAAAAAGCACACCCATATATGCTAGCTCACTGTGAGAAAAGCAATGGAAGTGTGTCAGCAGCAGGAGTTTAGACAGCTTTTTTCTGTAGGAGCCATGGTCTTAGAGAATCCCAACTGTTCATGAAAGCTTGCCATGAAAGTGATCTCCTTGCTGTGGCCCGACTCCAGTCCTGCTTGCCCTTCAGCTCAATATTTCTGCCTCTTTCTGGCATAATAATTGTTGAACTGAAGGCTGGTTTGAAACAGAATTTATCATTAGTAGAGATTTCAAAGCTAACTACTTAAAGGTTCTGTTAAAATAAGAAACCAAACTTAATATACCTGCTCTGAGCTTAAGGCTTCTTTGTTGGTACAAATCATTATGCAAAATTATTATTTTGTTTGCCCAGCTGCCTGTTGAGTCAGCTTATACATACCAGAGAAGTATCGATGTCAACACAGCGTATAATGTTGGGTATAGAAAGGATTGCAAGGTGCAGATTTGAGGGCTGACACTGATGCTCTTATGGGGAAGAGAAAGTGATTTGTGTAACACAGCCTTGTAACATATTAGGGTGGAGAAAACATAAATCATACATATCTGTAAGAAATCATCCCTGAAGAATAGCCTGAATTTTATTGCTTGTAAAATTAAAAAGTTGTATGATTTAGGTGATTGGATAGAGGTAAGAAATCACTCCTTGAATTGGCCCAAACTAACTGGTAATGTTTAGGGAACACTTAAAAAATAGTGCTCTGTGCTACTGCAAGGGAAGTGAGCCTGAGGGGAAACTATATCCAGAATTTGGGACAATTTAGCTTTGCAAAGGGGCACAAACTTCATATGTGGGGGGTCTGAAAAGAAAAATAGTCTCCAACCATTAGTACCTCTGGGGTAGAGGTAATACTTTTATAAATATAAATGTGGTTACAATTACTGCTAACTGTATGCTGATGTTCCTTGGGGAAGGCAATATGCACTTGAAAATGGGGCAGTTCAGATATATGTGCCTTAAACTACAAATCAGTCATTCTTTGAGATAGTGGCTTGGAAACCAGGTTTAACTTCTAAATGGCA